CGGTGCAGATGGTACGGCCTTTCCGGTGGCAACCGTTTGTGACGTCAATCAAGTATATCTTGAATTTCGAAACAAAGCTTCGCTTCACGATTCAGATAACAATTATTAGTGCTATTAATAAAAAAAAAACTTTAACATTAAAATCTTCAAGCGCGAGAAGAATAATCGACTGTGATTGGTCTATTTTCTTACGGCCTTACGATTACAACTAAAACATTGTTACGTGCAATGGCCTTTACAGAAATTTAATATTGTAAATTTTAAGTAATTATTTGGCTATGTGATTAATTACTTATTTTGAGTATTAAAAGCACTGTTTTTAATACTTTTAATACTTAAAATAAGTAATTAATTACTAGCCAAATAATTATTTACAGTATTTAATTTCTGTAAGAGATATTTGTGAAAAATTTGAATATTTTAAAAAATCTCAGCATTTATAAATGTATCGTATAGAGAATTGTTTCCATATCGTATGGAAATCATCAAATCTCGGGTAATATTTCCTGTAGCTCGAAAGCGTTATGCGTGTAAGACAACATGCGGCTTTGCTGCGAAAAAATCGCAGCATTTAATTAGGAAGATACGAGAAAAGTTGTTTGCGTGCTTCGCCCTGCGAGACTATTAAATAATTCGCCAGATAACAGCATGCCACAACCGCACGAAGGTTTTCGCTTATTAATTCCTCTTCCTGCGAGAATGATAATTCACGTTGCGCACGCCGTGTAACGTTATAGATAATCTTATCTCAAGCCAAGAATAAAAATCAGACAGTTAATGAGTAAAGTTGGCAATTAGCAAAGTGATAATCAACTTAGTAACGTTATGTGCTAATGAGTTGCGAACTATTTGATGTACTCGACTGATCAGCGACTATAAGCAATTATAAAATATATGCCATTTATATGCATATTATATAAATAAATATATATTTTCTTTTAATAATGTGAATGCCAGGAAACTTAATATCACTATTGCGTGTGAAAAACGTTTTATTATTATGTATAATTTTATTGCAAGATTGCATATTTATTCGAGTGTGTAAATGACGTTTAAAACAGCGATAATTATTGAACGAATTATGGTTTGTATCGGTGTCAAATGGACTGAGAGTATTAACAAATAGCTAGAAAATGTCAACGCAACTCATAATAATTATAGTAATTATAGTAATCAGAGAGAATAATTCTAGCAATCAGAGCAATAATAATAAATTATTAATTAATATTCGCAAATTACATTTTTTACAAGTAAAGAAACTTGTAGATATTTTACACATGGAACGTGACGTACAAGCCATTGCTTTGCGTAATTACTCTATAATTATCTCTCCCAGTAAATCGTTTACCGCTCGGTAAATTGTTTACCGTTAGTTTCGCAGAACTTGCAGAGCGTTGTCAATTTCTAAAGGCAGCTCGGAGTCACGCGAGATTTAATAATCTCAGATTTAATAATAGAGATATACGTCGCATAATTGTAATCTCCTTTAAATATTTGAGCGCTATTCCTCCAAAAGTTGTCGCGGAGCCGCGGCGCGCGACAATTCCGCCATAATTTTCGCGGCTACACCGCCGTCTCGAATTTCAAATCGGGCACCGCAGGCGCCTCTGGTAATTAGAAAGTTCATTACCCTGACAACTGAGTGACAATGGCAGAAACCCGTATCTCCGCTGTCGCAGCTCGTCGAGCTCTGTGCGAGGTCTCTCGGCTTTGCCGCGCTTTAGACTCGCATCTATCAGCATTCATATCATCGGCAGGTATATCCGCCATTGATGGCAAAGCCCACACGCATCGCCCGCTAGAAAAGCCACCCACGACAGAGACTCACTCGCAGATAACAACGTCAATTGTAACTTAAAATACAAAGCGTATACACAATAAGCAAGACAGCTACGAATAACTTCGATCATTTGCGCAAAATGTTTTGTTTTCTTTTTTTGGAACGCAACGTTCTTGTCTTCTCACGTCAATTTTTATCGGTTTTTTTTCGCGTTACAGACGGATCTCGACCGTTTTAGATTCAACGTCGGGATAATCTCTCAAACAGGGTTATGGCGTTTCAAATTATAACAAGGCTATGTCCGGATTCGATTACGCATTATGAGATTTCGCGAAGCGGCGTCAAAATCACACAATATATTCTGGGCACAGGGCATGTCCGTAATATCGTTATCGGTTAACGCAATTTTCATGTAACATCTTTGTCGCACTATACGAGTACATCGGGTTCGTTATTTAATAAAATTACAAGGTAAAATGGACTCTCACATTATTTCCGTGTCCGATATTAAATATACTTACTGAGAAAAAGTCCATTATAGTTAAAAATCAAAAACTTAACGCGTTTTATCAAGACTTTACCTGATCAAATCTAAATTTCGTTGGAAGAACAGAACACGTTCTTCAAAATACCTTTCGTCAAATCTTATACGTTTGCGCGTCATAACTCGTTTTGTATGTTGGGATATATAGTTAACATATCGCGCTGTCAGTGGCAGCAAGCTTATATTCCGCAAAACGTTTACAAGTTGCGACATGCGACGACCGCGACTGGCACAATGTCGTTCCGCAGTAATATCATTATTTTGCTACGCCGTGGAAGTTATTACGGGACACGATTCACTAATGCGCGTCGAACATCATTCCTCGGATTTATTTCGTCGTCGTCGTCGTTGCGCTGGAAATTCCGTCGCGGAAAAGTTGGCGCCATACCTGAGGGAGAAAAATAATTGGAAAACATCGTGGCATTTCGATGAACTCGACGGACGATGACACGTACGGGCCAACCTCGTCATTATTTCATACGTTCGACCATATGCATTATCGATATCATTCTAATATGCGGCTCACGTGAAGTAATGTCTATGTCTATGCAAACGACAACGTGCTCGTACGAATCAACCGGGGCGAGAGAATACAGGTTTACCTTCTATTGTTCATCCTCCCACGAAAGTAGTGATGCCGCCGATACGAGAAATTTCGAGACGAGACGAGACGAGAAAAATCTCGTCTCGAAACATATCGAGACGAGACGAGAATCTCGATATATCTAAATCAAAAATATTTTTTTCTTCATCACTAAGGGCCAATTTCACCAACCACAGTTAGCTTAACCGACGGTTAAAGTTAGCAGGATTGACTAATAGAAAGCAGGGTGGATTCATTTCTATTGGTCAATTCTGTTAACTTTAACCATCGGTTAAACTAACTGTGGTTGGTGAAATTGGCCCTAAATTGTGGACTGATTAGAAGTGAAGCATAACTCGTCGTAAACAAACCCTCGCAGTTTTATAGAAAGAAGTTAAATAAGGACACGTAATACTCAAGGAAGCATACACAACTCAAGGGATAACCCAAAAAAAGCAATTTCTTATACAGTTGTTTATTTATTTTAAATTGCAGTTATTTATTATAAATACTACGCCAATGTCAGAATTCTATAAGGGAATTTCTCTTATGGCTTTCTTGGCTTCAGATTTTTTTGAAGTTGCAGCTCCGAACTGCACGATTTCCAACGCCCCATTACATGCATGAGCCAAATTACGGAGTAAATATGTTTAGATTAGGTAATTGTCTTACTTATTAACGGAAATAAGGATTAAACGGCAGAAAATTTTATTATAGAATTATGAGATTTTTCGAGACGAGAATTTCTTTTCGAGACGAGAGTCTCATCTCGTCTCGCGGCACGAAAGAGGTGTCGTGAATAACGCCGTTCGTTGCTCATAAGATACCCGCGATAAACCGCACAATCTAAATATCGGGATTAATCTGAAATGAACTCTTTCATCCCAAATAAGAAACATTTACTTCGCCAGAAACTAATAAACAATTAAGAATTCTAATCGACTCAACTAGCTATCATGTCGATACGACCATTAATTTTAGTTAGATTATTATCGTCAAGACATTTCAGACCATGGGTTTTGGTCTTTCTAAATTAACGTAATTTTTATGCTTATTTATAAGCATCATATTTAAATAATTTAATTTATTGTAAAAAATTATTTAAATAATCAAAATTACGTTAATTTAGACAAATCAAAATCCATGGTCTGAAATACCTTAGCGATAATCTGACCCAAATAAATGGTCGTATTGTCCTGACGATGATAGCCAGTCGAGTCTATTAGAATTCTTAATTGTTAACTCTTTCATCTTTAAGCAATTTTATAAAGCGGAAGTAACACTCTACGATTCGATTGTACGTTCAGATACGAAATGGAAAGTCTAATTGCAACGCGTTCTGTGAAATAAGAACCGAGCCACTTGATTCATGAATAAGTAAAGGCGATGAGGCGATGTAATGTGTACCCACTTGGCCTAAGTACACAACCGCGTGATGCTTAAATGTTGCGGTGGCATTTGTTACCACGCAAACCGAAAATGTTAATTAGTCCCGGCCACACGATATCGTCTGTGGTTACTAAGCGCGAGTTTTAATCCCGGCAATCTCCCTCTGTTCGCACGAGCAAAATTTATATTCCGGAGAACGCAAAGGTCGTAACATTAACGAGCCTGATTAGAAACAGATGTGACTACTTCTGATCATAGATACCCCGCGGGTTAATTACAGCTTTCTATATTAATCGATAGCAAAATAAATCGCGATAAAAGAAGTGTACAATAATCGTGAATTATTATTTAGAAAAATACGCCAAATGCAAAACATAGTGCCAAAATTATTCAGAATTTTCCACGGATTTTTTGTCTTCCCTTCCAATCGAAGATAATGGAACCGTGGAATAAAGTTACGTAGCGTATACCCGAATTTCCCTCGTTGTAGAGAAAGCCAAATGCAACTGATCCTGCATGGGATATTTCCAGAAAAAAAACATTTCCGTTCCTATCCATGTCGAACAATTCCACCCCTACAGAGCGGTATAGCGGTATAGTTCCCTCGTGACACACGTGCCTCGAGTGGCACACAAACGCGCGCGACGACAATCCTTGTGAAACCTTTCACTGAACGCCGAAATGGCGTTGTGTGTGTGTTTCAGCAGCATCCGAACGCAATCAACAATAGCGAGACGAGCGTGGGCGGTGCGTCGGGTGCGTGCGGAAGCATCCCGGCGCCCGGGGAGGCCGGATGCAGCAGCAGGGTCGGCAGCAGCAGCGGCGGCGGCGGCGGCAGCGGCGTCGGCACCGGTTCCGGACAAGGGTGCGAGCAATCCCACGGGGGCTCGTCGTCTCACTCTACACGGGAGAGCCACGCCAAGTTCCGGCACGGCCTGCTGCAACTTATGATCCACACGATAGATCCGCTCCACGACGGTCAGTCCCGCGCCGGTATACCAACTCCACACTCTATCACTCTCGCTTGCGCCTTGCGCTTTTCTGTGTTGGCACGTTTTAATTACTCGTTTTTTTTTCTTTAATGCCTGTTCTATGTCGTTCTATGTGTCGCACGCGTTCGTTTTTCGCACGTCTCTCGCGCGTGCATGCCCATCACGCGCGCTTATCGCTCCGTTCCGCGTACCGCGATATCGGAGCACTCACATTCCGCCGATATCATCGCGCTCTAGCCGGAGACTCTTGATAAAACGGATGTCGCGATTTCGCTGTAATTCCACGAAAACCCGATCCGCTCGATTAAGCTGATATGAGGAACACTGCTCTTGATAGCACTTGCAAGATAGATTCATGCATTTTTCATGAGCTTCGGTATTTCGAAAAATGTGGATTCGTGCTATTCGTCGGAGAAGAAACATATACATATTTCTTTTTTTTTTAATAGCGCTTTATTTCTCACTCAAAGTTTGCTGAAGTAAATGAACAACGCTAAACTAAATGGAATTATTTAAAAAATGCAATTATTTAAAAAATCAGACCAAACTGAAGTGGCTGCAACGCGTAGACACTTCAATAGCGATAACGAAATTTCTACGAAGTTTGAAAACGAATATTAATAGATGCTCGATCGAGGCCAATTAAGAATCTCTCGCAGCGGAGCGACGCGAAAACGCAGCCCGGCAAAATTTTTCGCTCTAGCAATACAATTTCGTTGCGACTTAACGAGGATCCTCGATCATTACTACAACCATTAATTAGCGTAGATAACAGCTATTGTTGTTCGTGATGTAATTATATGCTACAGAATGAAATTTTAAACGCGATCGTTCTTATTATAGTCGTTATTAATAGATAGACAGAAAATCGCGACATCTTGGAAAATGCAAGCGCACAATTGTGACGCTAATTGATAGCTGTTTTATTTGTTGCATGTTTGTACAATTGACATCAGTCGCGGCGACGCTTTTGCGACGATGATGCCGCAGGCAAGCTGAACCGACGTGCTTTCGGAAGCTCGTTCCGACGACACATATCTCTGAGACAAGTCGCAGAATTTCCGACAGCTCAACGAATAAAGTGTTTTTTAAATGTAGAACTATGCGAGCGTTTAATAAAAAAAACCCCCGCGGCTTTACGTAGCAGACAGACGGACTAATATACGTGCTCAAGACTTTAATCTCTTCGGAAATTCTACCGCGCGGAATAAAATTTCACTCTCGTAACTCGAACGCCGTAAATTTCAAATAGCAAAAGACCCCCCGCGGCTGATTCGGCTGATAAATTCGCAATTTATTTATTTAATAAACAAGTAATAATTTATAAACTTAACGAATTATGTCTAGGTGAAGATGATAATACTTAAAATTTACATTATTATTGGAACGTGCAATTTGTATCTTGTGTATTTCATTGTTAGATGAAAGTTTCTCTGTGTCGAATGATCGCGTGACGTAATATTTATAATTTTTGCACAATTTTTACGTTAATGCGAAAACCGAAAAGCACCGTCCCCCTCTAATCCAAAGAAATCTGTTCACTTACTTTATCGTGTGAAAGATGATATTGAAACTGGCTTGACATTCAAAGCAGAAAGAATCACGCGGAAGCGCATTACTTGGGGAGCTTCTTCGTAGATTCGTTGTAAAACCGCATATTGTCAGATCGAAACTCAATGTTATAGAGAGCATCGCTCGTTCGTTGGATGTCGCAACGACGTCTGAAATGTGCGTGAAATAAGGACGGTGCCCACATTTTCAGAGGACGCATGTCGATTTGACAACAACAGTTTCATGAATGACAAACGTAGCTGTGTAGATAGTATATAGCCTTGCTATATTGAATTGAGAGCTTGTTTGTCAGAGATCTACAGCATGCGTATGTGTGTGTGAGTGTGTGTCGTATCGATCGCGACGGTAAAAAGCTTTTAATGCACGCTGCATGTTATACTTATATTTCTCTGCACTCCTCGCGATTTTTTTCCCCATTATATTTATAGAATCCAAGAGGATGACTATATCGATTAATCCAAGAGGAAGACGTAACTATCGATTAACGAACGATATTTTATAACAAGTTATCCTCCTTCTGATAAATATGCGAGAGGCTTTAGCGACGTTGCATCTATGCGCGCTATGCAAGCTCGATTAAAAAAAGGAAAAAACTCCTCGTGCAGGAATTTTCGTATCGAGCGCCCCTAGAGCTTGATTGGTTTAAATTTTCACTGTGCTCGGGATGCGTCCAAAAATAGTTATCGATGACGAACGTGATCGCTGGGTCGTGCCTCAGGCTATAGCCGTCCGTTAATAAATAATTTGGTGGAGAGATTGGAAGCGCGTAGGAAGTCAATGCCATGATACTTTCCGTCCTAAATTATTAGCGTTATCGTCCGTTAACCGTCCGCAAACGTTTAGCACATACATTACGCTCAATTACGTTTTTCGCGCCGTTAATTCGAATATTCTCGCGACTCTGGATGTCTCGTTTAGCAGAGTTTAGCTCGTGTCAGCATTCAATCGAACTTCGATTTATTTTCTGTACGCTAAAACCCGAAAACCCCCACCGAATAGGCTCGTGTTTGCCGATTGAAAAATATGTTTGCACACTTGTCAGTCTTATCACACGCACGAGCACGCTCTCTCATTTGTCTTGCAAATAAATATTTTCATATATATCTATCCTATTCACGTCGCCATCTATGCCTGAATATTTTATAACGCGCATATGTTTGTCACCACATAAGCTCTTATAAAAACGTGATTCTTACAAATTCGTCAATACACGCGAATGCAAAGTGTTTGTTATCGTACGCGCAATATTTCAATTCAGCCATTTATAATCGAAAGAACTACAATCGGATAAATTCCGCTGAAACGGTTATAACAACGAAAACTTACCTCGAGCTGATTGTAACGTGAATTTTGATTAATTGCCACGCTGAGCTTTTCAATTAATATCCGAAGAGCATAAATTACAACAATTGAACTCTGTACAGTTAATCAATAAGGATTCCATCTGACATGTCTGAAATGAAGCCTGGGGCTTTACTTGTTTTCAATTATCGCCAGATATACGACCTGGCCGTCTCGAATTTCCGCCCCGAACGACTATCTTCCACACAAACGACATCCTCGCACCTGCGTTCCCGGATCGTTAAATTGACGATTGTTCCGCGCGAACGCTCGTATTTCCGATTAATACGTCGATCCGCGATTAAACAAACGGGGACGACGGGGACAGAGTAAAATCTCGGGGAATGTCAGCGGAAAAGGATAACAAGGCACGGCTCTCAATCGCGATATGTACATCAGAAACGTCGGAGGATTAAGTGCGCGCGATACGACGCGTGAAAGCACCGCTTGGGGGGGCCGATGAATAAATGCGAGTCCGTTCCGTGATATTTCTCCCTTGTTCGCGGCCACCCGCGTGCATTTATAGATCGAAGCGCGGGCGCGCGAGCGAGCGGCGGACGGAGAACATTTATTTTATCGTGGCCCCCGCGCACAGTCACAGTCGCCGCACACGCAGCGGTGTATTAACAAAAGCGTGGAGAAAACGCGATAACGTTTCGATTTTCTAAACGACTCGGATTAGCGGATTGGTATAATACGGCGACGCAGCGGCGCGGGCGCGAATTTCCCGCTGATCCCTTCTGAAAATGCCATTGCTACGCGCGGCGGTGTGTCTTACAAGGTAACCTCGCGAACTTGAAAATTCTGATTTTAATGAAACTCCCCATACATGTAAGAGGGATAAAAAGATGAATTTAGAAATTTTTTGTTACTGTCCAAAAACGGTTTTAAGGGGTTAAACCACCACTCATATGTATAAGAGCGGTTTTTTGCTTTTCTCGATATATTTTGAAAAGTATTCGAGATATCAAAAAATGTTTCAAATAAATGTTTTATGGTAAAAACATCTCTATTTAACCACATCAATAAAATTTTAAAAACAAATTTTTTTCTAATTTTTAATCAAAATTTTGTTTAAAAAATTATTTTTAAAAAATATTATATTAATGTTGTTGAATAAAGATTTTACTATAAAACTTTTATAAGAAACATTTTTTGATATCTCAAATATTTTTTTAGATATATCGAGAAAAGTAAAAACCGCTCTACATATGAGTGGTGGTTTCGCCCCTTAAAACCATTTTTGGGCAGCAACAAAAAATTTCTAAATTCATTTTTTTACCCCTCCTACATGTGTAGGAAGTTTCATTAAAATCAGAATTTTCGAGTTTGCGAGGTTCCTTTGTTAGTTCGGTTTTCCTCGGGTGGAATCTTGCACATCAATCTTGCACGATAAACAGATAATGAATGAAACAAGACCGCTCCGCGAACAGAGTGCGTGAACAATTGCGCGCGAGAGACGAGAGGAAAATCTCCGCAGAATGCCGCTTAAAGCCGACGTGCGATATATCATTTAACTCCGTTTTATATAATTCCGGTAATTGCTATTAATTCTGAAGCGCAAACGGTTAATTATCGCGTAAACATCACTGCGTAATGCACCGCGCATTTTCCAAATATCTTCGAGCGAAGGTAAACGCGGAAATACTTTGGAAAATATGGCCTCTTGCCGCTGACGACAAACGAGTCTCTTTGTTACGTCCGCGTATACGCGGACCATTAATACGGATCGGCTCAAAAATAGGGACAGCTCACATTTATCGGCGCTTCAGTAGACAAAACGCGGGCGGTGACAGGCTGCACGGTTTGTCGTGCGAAAGAGGGCCGTTCTAATTGATGGTCACCCCTTTCTTCGCAGTGGCGCGTGACCTGACCCATTTGTGCAGCCGTCTACGGTCTACGGCTTACACAGCACGTATACGTACAGTACGAAATCAATCCTACGAGGTTGCCGGGTTAGCTCGTGGATTAAGATCTCTATCAGCCGTGTGCCGCGCGCCAGAGAGCTCTCTGTACTTAATTTAGCGGTTAACAAACGCCCGCGCCGTCGCGCGAATTCGTTTCGAGGGTATATAGGGCCGCTGAATA